AAGAATCCTTAAGCCTTAAGTCCTAAAATCCTAGACCTCACGTCTTGACAACCCCAAACCCTTAAAGCTGAGTGTGGGCGAATTACGTGTTCCGTGACGAGGATTGCTAGTAGAGGCAAAAGTAGGAGAAGAACGGGGGCCTTGCCCAGATTTGCATGTGCAGATATGTTCTGGTTTTCAGTTCAAAGTGACAGCGGACAGCTTTAGGTTTTTTAGGACTTGCAGTGTGGGGTTTTCAGTTTTTAGGGTTTCGCTTGGTCAGAGTTTAGTGTTTTCTGGATGTAGGGTTCCCAAGGGTTTAGGGTGTTTGGGTTAATTTGTTGAGGGTTTACGGTTTTTAGGTTTCAGGATTTCGGAGGTTCCGAACATTTAGGGGTTTGGGTGTTTCAAGGTTCAGGGCTTTGGTCTAGGAGGTTTAAGGTTTTTGGGGCTCAGGGTGCTGTAGGGTTTGGGATTCCGAGGTTAACAGTAAGGTGTTCTGGGTGCGGGATGTAGAGCTTTTCAGGGTCACGACGTGTTTTTGGGGTTTTGGGTTGTGCGGGTTCGGTTTTTTAGGGTTTTGGGTTCTTTGGGGTTTGGTTTACGGTTTTTTCGTGGTTGTTTTTAAGGTTTCAGGGTTTAGGTGTTTGAAGATTTGGGTTTTTCGGGTTTAGTTTCTTAGGGTTCAGGTCTTTAGGGTTTAAGTTTTTCAGGGTTTAGGGTTTTTATGTCTAGGATTTGGGTTGTTGGGTTAAAAGGTTTAGGGTTTCGGAGGTTTATAGTCTTTAGGGTTAGCAGGTTTAGTTTTTTTGTTTTTAAAATTCAAGGGCCTTGGAGTGTTAAGAGCCATAGGGGTTCCAGGGCTTCGGGTTTTCAGGGTTTAGGGTTTTCAGGGTTAATCATTTTAGGGTTTAGTCTGAATTAAGGGTTTGGGGTATTTAGGTTTCAGTGCTTTTTGGGAAGGATTGTTTTGTATATTTTTGATCCTTTTTTGGTTCTGTGGTCCTCTGGTAATCCAGTTCACTAGTTAGCTTTCGCAAGGCAGCTTTAACGGCTTTCGAGGGCTATGAAAAATGCAACTTACAGCATTTGCGGCCACGAGTGCTGCAAAACTACAGCATTTGCAGCCATTGAAGAGCTATGAGTATTGCAACTTACCGCACTTGGAGTTCTTGATACGAATACTGTAGATTGCAGCATTTGTAATTCTGGAAAGGCTACTAGTATAGGAAATTACAAGATTTGGGCCTCTGTTAATGTTGCAAACACGGTAATAAATGCCCATGGAATGTTTGAACAACTGCAAACACACACAACGGCATTGGAAAATCTGCAGAAATGCTGCAGAAAAAATTAGTTCCCCCGTTGTAATGTAAATACACCGCTCAGAAATTGCATAAAAAGCATGCAAGAAGCTACATGTTCTTATCTTCGGCCATACTTCCTAAATGCGGGGGTGCGACTCCCCCGAAACCTTCCCTCCCCCCCCCTATCTTAAAATCCTAACAGCCCTAGATCCTAACCCAAAAAATCCTAAACCTTACCCCACAGAACAAAAAAAAACACTCAAACCCTAAACCCTAATAAGACCCTTACCCTAAAACCCCTAATGCCTCAACCCTAACCCTGAAAACCCCAGGCCCTAAGCCTACAAGCCTTAAAGCCTTACCCAAACTAAAGAATACGATATACCTATTATTTCAGTTACTATTATCAGTATTATTGTTATTATTACTTTGGTTAATTTCATTATATCGTTGTTATAGTTATTATTGTGATTGTTCTTGTTGCTTTTATCATCATTTCTTATTATGATTATTCTTCATCATTGTCGTTATTATTCTTCATAATATCACTGTTGTATCATTAGTATTATTTGTATTACTACTATGGTTAATATTGCGCTTATTACTAGTCGTGGTATTCCTATCACTCTTAATAGTTTATTTTTTGAACTACCAGTATTTGTATTATAATGAGTATTATTACTAGTGCTACTATGGTTTGAACTCTCGTGTGGAGCGTCCTCACGTTTTGCCTAGAAATTGTGCTCTTGCGTAGAGCGTCCTGACAAGGTTGCTTACAATATCCGGGCCCGTTTTTAGGGTTAGGATTTTTAGGGTTAATGGCTTTTGGGATGTGGGAGATTTCCCGTTTTTGTTGGGGTAGAGGCTTTTAGGATACAGGGTTTTTAGGGTTTTTAGGGTTTATTTTTTTTTGCGTTTAAGGGGTTTAGGGTGTTGGGGTTAAATTTGTTTTGGGTTTAGGGTTTTTACGGTTTAGGGGTTTTAGGGTTAGGGTTTTTAGGGTTTAGGGTTTGGCTGTTTTCTTGGGTATAGGGTTGAGGGTTTTCATGCTTGAGTATTTTTTAGGGTTTAGGGCTTTTAGGATTTAGGATGTTTAGGGTGTTTGCTTAGGGTTTTTTAGAATTTGCGGCTTTTAGGGTTTAGGGTGCATTTTTTCGGGTTTAGGGCTTTTAGGGCGCAGGGTTTCTAGGGTATAGGGATTTTGGCAGGATTTTTTTGTTTTATTGGGTTTAGGCTTTTCTGGGTTTTGGTTGTTCATGGGTTTAAGGTTTTTGGTGGGTTAGGATTTTCAGGGGTGTTGAGGTTAAGATTTTTCAGTGTTAAGTTCAGGGTTTTTGGGGTCTAGCGCTCTAGGAATTAGAGTTTTAGGGTTTAAGGGTTTTTGGGGTTCAGGGCAGTTGGGGCTTTAGTGTTTTTATAGTTTTTAGGGCTTAGGGTTTTGGAGGTTTACAGTTTCAGGGTTGGGATTTCTCGATTTTTCAGAGATTGGGTTCCCGCTGCGCTCGGAGGAGTGGGCAAATGGGGGTTGAATTTAGAAAATCCTTGCAGAGCAGTTGTCTTTGAATATGTCCAAAGCAAGAAGGTACTGCACCTGCATTGGATTCCACTGCATCCTGAACTAGAGGGGTGTCTAAACTCGGAATGGACTGAGAGATTCGTCTCCTTAAAAAATCGTCCACGGAAACTCCCAGACATCCAACATGTCCAGAACTGCAAATGTACTGTCCTTGCCAGTGTTTCCATCACGTTTATCTGCTAGGCAACCTTATTTTCCGGGCACACCTACCCACTCTTGCGGTAGTGGTGGTGGTGGTGGTGGTGGTGGTGGTGGTGGTGGTAGTAGTAGTAGTAGTTGTTGTTGTTGTTGTTGTTGTTGTTGTAGTAGTAGCTGTAGCAGCGCGTGCGCCGTACGCGAGTATCATCAGCCCAACTGGGGTCGATTTTGTTAAGTTGCACTCATTAGAAGCTCCTCAAAAGCCTTTGGCACTTCCAAGTTCACTGGCACTGCCATGAGGAAACCCGTATAGAGCTGTGGAAAACCTCAAAATTGTCCCGGATCAACCCTCGCCCGAAACCCCAACAAACCTCATTTAAAAAACAATCATAAGCCCAGGAACCGATCAACGCACCTATCAACCATTTTCCTCTGCCATGGCAAAGAAGCGTGTTAGCCTCTCTGAGGACCCTCATCAACCCCAGAATGCCTGGCCAAGCAGAGAAGCGGACCACCAATGATGCTGATCAGCACCAGCATCATTGGGATCTGTTTCTCGATGTTTGGGCACCCTTTGGCTTCTCTTTAAGCTCGGGCCTAGCTTTCGGAAAGTCGGTGCTCCTCATGCTTTTTTGCCGGGTCAAGGGAGACATTATAAATCCTGGAAAATGCGTTCGAGGCGTGAGGAGAAGCTCCAAAGGCGCATGCACACGTGAGCTTGGTTTCAGGGTGGCAGATGGAACTCCAATTTTGCTGATGATGCTCCCGTACCTCGCATCAACACAATTGGCGCTCTTTTTTTGCCTTTTCAAGCGCATTCTTTGTCACTTATGAAGCCTGTAAGTGCTCATACCCTTGAAGACTGCCCTCGAAGTGACCGAAACCCCGCAAGCTCATCGGCACCGCCATCAAGATGCCCGCGCAGAACCACTCAAAGCCATCTTGGAATCAGCATGAAACAATCACGTGTGCTAGACCCGAAAACCACCGCTCAAACCCCATAACACCTGCATAAACCATCATAAACTTAAGAACCCCTCAACATACTTATCAACTCAAGAACCCATCAGCACAGACATCGATAACTTCTAAGAGTATCATCGAACTATCCCCTGCCGAGCCAGGGGGCTGGATGAAAGCTGGTGGAGGGTAGGGGAGAGGGTTGGGGGCGGGGGTGGGGGCTGAGGGGAGGCGAGGTGGCTGTCCGTTTGTCTTATATGTCTTGCAGGTTGTGACAAGGGCGGTCAGTTTAGAAATGGATGTTTTTTTTTCTGATCCGGCAAGGCATGTTGAGACGGGTTCGTCACGTAGTTTAGACACGTGAGACCGTTGGCTTGCATTCCTTGGTTTTGCTGATCTGATGCACATGCTCCTAGAAATCCTAGTGTGCGTACTGGTTTGAAATGCTCCCCAATCTGTGTAGTGTAACCGCTAACGCGAGACCGCCTTGGCAAAGCCTGTCGAGGGGTGAGAGCACAGAGCAGGCAGCCCCACCCTCCACCCCCCTCCCCCCCGTCCCCCAGCCCCCTCCAACCCCCTCCCCCCCTCCTCCCCCTTCCCTTCCACGGAGCCGATCGCACACTGCGTGGGCTAATTTCCTCTTCCAACAGCCCTGGATCTAAGCGCCCCAGGCCTCCGGTTTCAGCGAATTTTGGAGAAATAAGCCTAAACCGGCCTAGTCTGATTCCCTTCTTTTCTCTATCCTGCTGAGGGCTTCTTGAATTCTCTAAGGTGGCGAACATCTTTTGTGAGTTGTCAGGACATGCACTGATTATTGCAGCATTGGCAGTCTCCGTGTGCAGCATGAAAAACGTGACTGGCTGCTGAGTGTGCGCGCTTGCAGAAGATTCCAGATGCAACGCGTTGTTTAGGATGCTCAGTCCGCAGCCAACCCTTACCTTTCGGAAAAGTGCCTCGCTTGTTGCTGCTGCTGCTTTGTGAATGCAGAAGGAACTCTTATTGATCACAGCAGGTATCGCACGCTCAACTACCTGCGAAAAATGGAACCTGAAGAGATCGAAATGTTGCCAGAACCTCTAGCAACGCTGATGGTCCTGGAACAGGATGGAGCCCTAGTGCTGACAACGAGCTGAGGCGAAACACGACTCTTGGTACGCGAGTTGTCGAAGGCTGTACCTTGCGAGCGGCCATTAGCGGCGCCCAGCCCCAAGGTAGCCAAGGCACAAGAAAAGCTTTCACCAGAGTCGCTTTGCGTTCTCATGTGTGGGCCCAGGTGGGAGGTGCTGGCCTGGGACTGCTGATGGGAGGCTCGACGATAGGCCCATACATCACTTTCTGGAAGAGAATCTGCATCAAACGAATCAAGGCTTTCTTCACACTATGCAGCCTCCACCCAACATTGACACGTCGGGGTCTTATGGAGTTTTTGTTGTGTCTGATCGATGTGACTCTTGGTATTCAAGGACATTGTCAACCATGGAGCAGATACGGCAGTCTTACAAGGGCTTTGGCCAGCCTCCTATACCTGGCAGTACCATGTTTTATTTCCTTTGATCTGTGCGAGCAGTACCATCCCCAAGGCCAAGCCTGCGTGCGCATGTCTCGCAACTTTGCGAAGGCCATCCCGCACAAAAGCTGAGCTTTGACGTTTTTGGGTTGTTTTCTTTCATAGAGGTTGGCGTCGTCTATGCTGGGGTGGAATGCTTCTTCGAGCGTGCTGAACTGATGGCACCTGCAACCGTGACAAATGGAAGTATTGTGGTCGACAGAGGTGAACGAGCCTGTAGAGATTTGTGGTTGGCCCAGACGCTCCTGAGATCTCTTTGAGTTTCTTCGGTTAAACAGACGCTTTGTTCCAAGACCAGCCTGAGGCCAAATGCAATCCTTTCGGGCTGTGTTACCGGGGGTGTCCTTGCATTCCAAGCCGTGGCCCCAACGTGCTGTGGCAAGCTTGATTCAGCCAGCTGATACCCCCCTACTCTCAGCATTGGTATGCATTTGCTGCCATGTGGCTGCTGCTACTGCTGCTGGGGGCCCCTTATATACGACAGAAGGCAAGCTCCAAAGCTGATCAGCACCGTCAGCTCACTGCATGCCAGACAATCGTAATCTTTTGTGATTTCCACGGAACTGCAATTCGATCAAGGTTCAAGTGCTGTACAAAGTTCTAGGCCGCAGAGTCTGTTTGTCTGAGGTTTCACGAGAGGGCTCATGGCGGTGGTAAGTGTGTTTTCTGTCCATCGAGCCGACATGTACAGCCTTCAGATGACCTTTCATCATGCTTTTTATCCAGACAGGCCCTCTGAAACCAAGCTTACGTTGAGGCCTTCCATGAGCCTTCCAAAGATTTCACTACACAAATTCTGCGTTGTCGAACATTTTTCAGCATGAGCTGAGGGTGGGCCGACGGGCATGGCCTTAGGCTGTGCTGGTTTCGCTGCCTTCTCGGGAGTGCCGGTCTCGTTCACTCGAGACTTCTGCAAAGGTTTGCCCACACACATGCGTGTGCACGGGTGGCAGCTTAGGTTATCGAAACCCTGATGGATCACTGAGTCTTTCGGTGACGTTAATGTTCCCTGGATAATCTGGATGAGCCGGGAGACGGCAGAAATCGGTGCATTTCTGTGACGACTGTGCTTGCTTCCGTCTAGCCACAGATGTATGCTGATTGCAGCTGTCCAATGTAGTTCAAGCTTGAAGAGCTGTAGGTTCGCTTTAGATGCTAAGCATTAAGTGTGGTTGTGCTTGCCATGGCTGATAGGGGTCCTCTGGAATCTGGGCACAGGAGCGCCTGCCAGGGCTTGAAGTTACGGAAGTGATCGGCTTTCCTGAGACTGCAGGTGGACGTGAGTAGACTTTTCAGCCTGAATTCCTTTTGCTGTTGCGCTTAGTCCTTTGCAGTCTTGCAAGTGCTGCTTCATTTCCCAAATGCTTCAATGAGTTGCAGCTGGTGTAGAGGCATTCCCAGCCTCCGTGAAATCCTTTCAAAACACGCAACCATCTATCAGGAAAACAGATTGGCAGAAATCCGGAGGAGCATGATGCCGGATGGATAGAGCGAGGATTTGCCTCGTGGAACCAAAAAGACCTCTTGAAGACTTCAGAAGTAAGCATACAATAGCAAGCATCTCTGAATGAGCGGCTAGGCATGCCCGATTTTAACAAACAACTCCTGGTTTCCTGCGAATATATGAGGCACTGATGTAATGTTTTAGTAGTGTTCCAGCCGCTCTTGAGAAGAGTCATAGGCATTTCCAAGACCTGCTTTCAGACAGCCTGTTGAAGGAGCTTCGAGTATCCGGGCACCAAAGTTCAACCAGCCAGCCTGAGGAACGGTGAGCCAAATCGTGTTGCAACCACGCGCTTCACTGCCTTGACATGGATTCCGAAGTCATTATTTCAACAGTTTCAGAGAGCTGCGAATCTCTATTTCTTATTCATTGCCATCATTGTGTGCATGCCATTCTCACCCAAACGATGGCAGAGCAAAGTTATACCTTACGTACTCGTGTTGGCATGGACGGCGCTAAAGGACTTGTTTGAGGACTCACGTCGCCGGAAAGATGACCAGATCGAGAACAGAAGGAAGTGTTGGGTTTACGACTTCCAGCATGGAGCCTTTCTTCAGACAGAGTGGAGCAGGATAAAGCCGGGAGACTTTGTTTGCACACTGTGCGATGAGCCGTTTCCCGCAGATCTCCTTCTAGCTTGTGCTGAGGGAAATGAGGGAGCTTTCATTTCCACAGTGAATCTGGATGGAGAAACGAACCTGAAATTGCGGTCGCCTCCTGCAGCATTCGAATCAGTCCATGCGAAGAGAGAGTTGTCTGAGAGCCAGAATGTATATAGACCACCTCCTGCTGCTGCTGACATGGTGTTGCGCCTTTCTGGAGCTGGTCTTTCTATAGTCTTGGCTGCTCCCTCTCCTGACCTCTCCGACATGCACGCAGCGATTGAGCTTGGAAGTGGTGGTCAGCGGTGCGCCGCCAGTTGCACCAACTTCGTCCCGCGCGGGTGTGTGCTGCGCAACACGCCGTGGATGCTGGCAATTGTGGCTTACGCAGGCAAAGATACTAAGGCCTGCTTGAATTCAGCCGCAGTCACTGGAAAGGTCTCAAGCTTGCAGGGTGCCTTGAACAATTGTGTATATGGTCTGTTGGCAGCTTTATTCACAATTTGCATATACATGGCATCTTTTGCAAAGGCCACCGAACCTTCCACGGATTGGGTGGTGCGCTTCCTTAGCTACACCATCACGCTCTATCACGTGGTACCTATTTCGCTGTATGTGTCTTTTGAAATTCTGAAGCTGGCGCTTGGGCGTTTTATAGATATTGACCCTCAGATGATGGATCAATCGACCGGCCAGGCAGCCAAAGCAAGAACGGCAGATTTGGTTGAGGAGATGGGGCAAGTGGATTTCATATTCTCTGACAAAACAGGAACCTTAACTTCAAACGAAATGCGCTTTGCAGAGTGCGCGGTAGGCAGCCAGGTTTTTAGCTCTTTTCTACAAGACCCACGTGGTGGTCCAGTGAGTGGAGTACAGGAGGCCCGGCAAATTCTCGATGATCCAGCTCATCCTGATCACAAAGCAGTCCTGTGGTTCTTTACGTGTTTGGCCGTCTGCCATACGGTACAAGCGGATGTGCAAGAGGCTGATGTGCAGTATTCTGGGCCGTCTCCGGATGAAGTTGCCTTGGTCAGGGGCGCTTGTCAGGCAGGCATCGTTTTCAAAATGCGCAAAGCTGACAAAGCTCAGGGAGAACGCACCGAGGTCATCATTTCTGGGCCATCAGGCGCACCTGATCGCATATTTGCAGTCTTGGCTATCATTGAGTTCACTGCAGACCGCAAACGCATGTCCATCCTGTGTGAGTGTCAGGGCCAGGTGTACTGCATGACTAAGGGTGCTGATATTGTGATGAGCCCATTGCTGGTGAAACCGCTGGGGTTCAAAGAAGAGGAGCAGCTAAAGGGTTTCTCTCAGAAAGGCCTTCGGACCCTAGTGGTAGCCTCTGCGCAAATCGACTCTTCAATTTGCGCTGCGTGGCAAAGTGACTGGCTGGCAGCCATGATGTCACTGGATGATCGGGTAGAGCGAATGGCTGAGTGTGCCTTGGCCATTGAGCGAAACCTTGAGCTGGTTGGCATCACGGCAGTCGAAGACAGACTACAGGACGGCGTGCCCGAGACTGTAGCGAAGATCAAGTGCGCCGGCATACGCTTGTGGGTGCTTACGGGTGACAAGACAGAAACAGCCGTAGATATTGCTTACTCTTGCAACTTGTTTACCGAATCAGCAGCTCTGGCTTATGTGACTGGCGCTGTGGATGGCCGTGAAGTTTCCGACCTCCTTCATAATGCGCACAAGGTGTTGGAAGGGGCAACAGACAGCGGCATAGTCATCGACGGACAGTCATTAAAGTTTATTTTGGAAGATTCAACTGCTGCAGATCAGCTTTTTGAGCTCGGCCTCAGAAGCAGGGCATGTGTTTGTTCAAGACTGTCGCCATCGCAGAAGCGGCGTTTGATCGAACTTGTTCGGGTTCGTAGTCCCAAAACCATCACACTGGTGACTGGGTGAATGTTAATCAGTCATGAAAGGTCAGACTCTCTAGTCCAAATCAGACCAGGCCTAGTCATTGTCATGGGGACCCATAACACCGACAGTGCCAGCAAAATGGCATGTGGAATCAAGCACAGCATAGCTTGCCTATGAGGCGATCGGTGACGGTGCCAACGATGTGCCAATGATCCTCGGTGCCCATGTTGGCATTGGCATTCGTGGCAAAGAGGGCTCGCAGGCGGTCCAAGCCAGCGATGTGGCGATTTCGCAGCTCCCCAGCCTCCAAATCTGTTTCTACAGAAATCTCCTATTCACCGCCTTGTGAAATTTTCTGCAATTTTTGGCATTCATTCGGTAGAAGGCCAGCAATCTAAAAGTGCATGCCAGCTAAGCGAAAGACTCGTATCTGTAGCTTATAAAGAAGCAACAAGTGTAGCGCCAGGACAATGTCAGAGATTTGTCATGGAAACTACATGGATACTATCTTGAAGAGATGGATGAGTTTCAGGAATATTATGTCGCTTTGTGCAAACCCAAGAATTCCAACAGTTCTAGCAATTCCAACAAGAAAGGGCTTTGGAACAGCAATAGGCCGAATTCAAGCTTCAGACATGAGGCGGCGTGCAGGGAAAACTTCCAGGAAGAAGCCTTGCGGAAACAGCCCAAAAGTGGATGATATCAAGCAAAAGACTTTGTTACCTGGTCTGTAAACCTAGATTTCTGAGAGCATGTTCGCCATCTCTGTACTTCAGGCAGGCTACCTCAAGTCTTTCTAGTGCCGTTTCAGCAGTAACCTTGGGATAACAGCAAAGTCCTGCTTCCCTGGTCTTGACTGCCACGAGTCTCGCACGAGGTTCCGACATTTGCTACCGCTTTTGCTTTGTCATGGACGCCGAGCATACAGACGCATCGCAACTTTCCTCTGTTATTACTTGTACAAGAACGTCACTCTTGCATGGGGGGATCTGATTTGGGCGCACCAGGGCAGTTTCAGTGGCGATGTTGCCTACCCTGAATGGCTGTCAACATCTTTCAACGCAGTTTTCACATCATGGCCTGTTCTTATTGTTCTGGCTTTTGATCAGGACGTTTCCGATACTCTAGCGAATGCAAACCCTGCAATCTACCAGGAGGGTGTGCAGAGAGTCTGGTTCAATCGGAAGCTTTTTGGTCTTTGGATGCTTGCTGCCGCTTGGCACGGCTCCTTGGCATGGATTGTGCCGAATCTGTCATTTGGAAGCACTACATACGACTCTGTGGACTTTTGGCGGGCTTCGACCACATCCTTCACCATTGTCATTAACGTGATTACAATAAAGCTCTTCCTTCACTCCTTCAGCCGCTCTAGAGCTGCCTGTTGGGCTCCTTTACTTGGGAGCATTTTTGTGTACATCTTGGTGTTGTTTGTTTTGGGATACGTCAGTCTTGGCCAGCGAATGCAGCCCAACTTGTCCGACGGTGGAGATCCGCCTGTGCCGGGCTGGATGCTCAGCAATGCCGTGCCCTTGCTCCAACTTCTGCTAGTACCAGTTCTTGTGGTTTTGCCTGATGTTGCATGTCTAATTTGGGCTCGACGGTTAAGCCCGTCACCTCTTTTCAAGATCGGCGACAAGGTTGGATCTGACTGAGAATTACTCACAGGAGAAAGTGTTTCACAGGTACAGCCCAAATCAGCGTGACCTTCAGGGTCTGTGTTTGGGTCATCGGCCGTCAGTGAATGGCGAGGCAGGCACGTGTACAGGCTTCCCTTGGCTGAGGCAAAAAAACAGGCATGTCGAGATGAAGTTTCAGTCTTTCAAGATGGCGTCTAAGATTGCTGGAACCTGGATGTCCGTGAGAGCCAAAAGTTGATTTGCTGCAGACACGCTGCAGCAGAGACCGCAGGCAGCCTATGAAACAGGCACCCAATACGTGCTCATTCTTAGCTGTGAATGCCCTTTCTTCTTCCACTTACAAGCAGCGCCCACGACACAATGTCAGCCAGCTTCATGGTTACAAAGCACATGTACACAACCTTGATCTGTTACCAATGCATTGCTGGCGCCTGTGCTGTGGAGCATGACAGAAGGCCTGTGAGCCTCCGAGTAGCAGCGTTTCGAACGAGATTTGATGTGGTCTGCGTTAGGTGGACATGGCGGTTATCCCGATGGCATGCAGGCAGCACTTGCGGCAAAGGCTTTGATGCTGGAGCCAACAACTTGTTAAGTCGTATACAGACGACCAAGCTGCTGCGGCGCAGGGTTATGATCTGTTGGAGCCAGTCGGGGGAGGCGATGGTGCAGCGGAGGAGGAGGAGGAGGATTCAGAGGAAGAAGACATCTTCGGCAGGACGGGACAGACTCTGACCCAAAGGAAAAAGCTTTGACAGAGCATTGACAGGATCCGCAAGCTGCCGCCAGATGTGGCTCGGGAGAAGGGCAAGAAGGCTGACAGAATGAGCCTTGAGAGGCCAAGACTTTTCTCAAGCGAGGCCTTCGGCGATGGCGACTATGACAAGGCCATCCGGTACTGGCAAGGCAGCTGTTGAAACACGTCTGGGAGTCTGCTGTGTGTGTTCGAAGATCAGCCGCATGGCCATGGCTTGAGGTGGGCTGAAGTCCATTCTTGGATCGCTTTGTCCTGGACTTGTTTTCAGACCCCAGTTCCCACAGCGTCTCATGGCATGGTGTCGGCTTCTCAGGCTCGGGACCGGCAGCGCTATCGGATCAGCATGACCCTTGGCAGCTGAGGGTAGAGGCTCAGCACTGAGCTGCGAGCATTTCATCACACACCGAGGTCATTGTCGGAGCTGGACTTGACGCTGAACCTGAACATAGTGCCGACCCCAAGAGGAGCCTTTGAAAAGTCCAGGATCATGCCACTGCTAGGCCATGGCCTACATGAAGAAAGAAGACTTCCAAGCAGCTGACAGGCAGACAGTATGTTCACCTAGACCAAGTTTCTAGGCTGGCAGCATGTTCGTATCTCTGCAGGTCGGTTGACAAAGCCCTAGCCAGAAGAGAGGCTCCACAAAGGGCCTTTGCATTTGTGGGTCAGGAAGCTTCCGAGCCAGGGTAGGGCAGGTCTGCAGCAACACGAGCTTTACCATTGCTGTTCTTCTTCCCGAGAGATTTGAGTAATTTGCTGCAGGCGCTGCCTGAGCACCTGATCACCAAGGCATCCGTAAACAGTTACATGCTGGAGTTATCAATGTGAAGCATCGCCACATGGAGGCGCTTTACCGCAAGGCTATGGCTCTGCGGTCAATGCGCAAGACCGGGACCTAGGGACCTAGCAAAAAGTGTGATCTGCTTTCAGCCTGTTTGGCAGCAAAGTATACTCTGGTGCGCTGTCGAGCCAAGGCTTGAGCAATGCCTCGCCACGCTGGATGATCTGCTGGAGGCCTTTCTCTGCTGCCTGTGCTGCCTGTGTTAAGTGATGTTTTTTGTTGCCAGGTGGAGGCTGGACATGCAGCCGCCAAGCAAATGCGTCAAGAGGTGCCGGAATGCAGGCAGCGAAAACCGTCATGCCAGTCTCATGACTCATGACGAGCAGGTTGAGCGCGAATGGTCAAAGCAGTGTCGTGACCAGAAGAAAAACTTCAGGCTATGTTGCTTCACGGCATTTAGGTGTTGAGTAGCGCATGAAGGTTTCTATTCTATTCATCGCAGGAAGATGTTCGACAAGCTTTCTGGGGAAGATCGTGCCGCTGAGGATGTACAGCTGTGTAGAAATGGCGTCAAATAGAAAAGTTATAATTCCGCTACCTTCGTCGGAGCTGCTTACTTCTTACTGTTTTGCTCTTTGCAAGAAACCTCAAAGCGAGAAGGAGCTGGAACGCCAACAGCGCAAAGCCCTTCGTGAACGGCTCTGGACTGAACATGTTTGCCAGCTGCTGGTGGGAAAGTCTAGCTCCTTGAGCCCTTGAGGTCTGGTGTTCGATGGACGTCCGATGACGTGGATTCAGAAGCCTTTGACACTGGTAGCGCTCCACCATGTGATGGGAAGGCCGAAGACTCCTTTGAGGGTTAGCATTGGCAAAAGCGAAAGCAGAGCTGTCAGGACTGGGGACTTGCCCTCAGCCGAACAGTGCTGTGGTCACTTGAGCAACTGGCGCTGGAAGGGTAGGGGGCTGGGACTTCGGCAGCGTTTCAGTACGTGCATAGCCTTACTGTGCCTAGATGAAGTCTGGCCACGTGACTGTGTACGGCAGGTGCATTTGTTGTCAAGAAGGCGTGGGCTTGATGCCGAGCTGTTTGATTTCAAGCTTACTTGCTCAAGACCGGTTGCCTTAGAACCAAGGCAGAGCGACATTCTGGTTCTTGGGCGCGATGCTCTGGCATGTTTGAGAGGGTTTGATTCTCGCTGCTGAACATGTGCTCAAACTTTGTGCAGGTCGTCAACTTGTGAGCTCCGATGGCTGAAGCCTGCCGAAATTCTCAAGCCGATAGCCCAGTCAGTTGAAGTGTCCTAGCAAAATCCTGCTTCCCTTCAATTCTCTTACCTGCAGCCTCGAGTCACCTGAGTCCACCTGATGCTGTCCTCAGGCGGCTTCCCTCTATTGACTGCCTTGAGTCGCAAGCTCAGGGGCCGTGTTTCCACCTGGCACGGCTCTGTGAAGAAAGATGTGCTTGCTGATAGGCTCGAGCTCATTGGCTTCCTGGGCGAGATTGACCCTGACAACTCCAGGGTGCGAAGCTCAACGGAGATCTGATTCTTTTGTCATGGAAGTGTTCAGGAGGGATACATTAGGTTTTTGCCGCTATGCTCCAGTCTGGTCTCTTTGGGCTTGTAGGATCAATATTCTGCTGATGCACTTGTTGTTCAGATTGCACCAGGTTCTGATGGGCAACATGACATGTTCACGGATACGCTACAAGCCGCAGTCGTTAGTTCGTGCAGATTCGCACCTTCATTGATAGAACTGATTATCTTCATTGGTGAAGGCAGCAGAGGCGATCCATCCGCGCAACAGCTTATCTTGAATGCAGTCCTATATCAGGCAGTTTCGCGTCCTCCCAACAGAACGGATCGATCGCTTCCTGCAGCTTGTGTTTATCAGCGACACCTCGGGCTTGTGCTCATCCACCATTTGGTTAAGCTTCAATTCTGCGCTCGCGCTTGCTCAACGCTTTGAACTCTGTGCTGGGAGTTCGTACTTGGGTTAGACGCATCTCCGTCGCCTGCACTTTGGCGCTTCGGAAAGTAGGGTCGTGAAGATCTGCAATGCTGCCGTGGACGACAAGATTGGGTGGGTCGAAGATGCTAAGACGCAATGTTTCAACACATTGCATCAAGCAATCTCATCATCACTGATCAACACTTCCCAAAAGGCTCTCCTCAAGTCTGAAGGGTCCAGCTTTGTGGACAGTTTCATCGGCTCCAGAAACAGTGGTTCGCTGGGGGAAGTAGCAGCCTGTTCCATGCGCTTGTGGTCCAATGGCCAAAGCAAATACTTCTCGCGTGATTTTCCTGGTGTTTTGGGATGACATACATGTTCATCGGTTTATGCTGCTTTTGTATGATCGAACATCTGTGCTTCGTCGAAAACCATAAGAACAGCTACCAGCCTACGAAGCATTTTCTGGCCTGGCTGGCCGAAGGAGATGTGGCTGCAAAGCTGCGGAAAACAAAGAACCCTGGAATGCCCTGGGCTTGTCTCCACAATTCAAGGCAAAAGTGATACTAGGGCAAAAGGACACCAAAGTCAACAGTCTGAGGAATTATTTCAGAACATTTCAGACGCGGATTTGAAGCTGAGACCGAGTTTCATGGCCAGGATATGTCAGGCGTTTGGTGTCACTCTGCAGCCTGACACGAAACCTCCCGGCACATGGCTCCATGCTCCAGACACGGCTGGAAGCATGTGGGTGCATGTAGTTGACCGAAATGTGTTAGATCGGGAAATGAGTGCAAAGAGCTACGAAGACCTGTCATGTGCTGTTTTTTTTAGTAGTAGCCAGAAGATGCCAGAAGTCAGTCATCGACAACGACCACAAAACTCGTCAATGGTTTGGCTGAGTTCTGCTGAACAAGATCAGCACTTTGCTTTTGATTGTTGAGTTGTTTGCATCTGAGTGGTTTTGGCTCGACACAGTTAGCAAGTAATCTCGCTTTTGAAGCAGCCTTGTTTGCATGCAACGGATTCAAGATAATGCTTTGCAGCATGAGGTTCCCGACCCTAACGTTGACAAGCTCCCGGAGGCTATGCACAGTCCTCTCAGTTTGGCTTCCTGTAGACTGCCGTCCCAAAAGGGGCGATGTTGGCCAATCAATGCAGGGCATTGCTGAGATTAAGTTGGACGAGCGACAAGCCCTGTTTAACTCTCAGTCTGAGCTTGTGTGTTGGTGTGCTTGCCACAACATTGTGACAGTGTTTAGAGAGCCGATGTCAGGTTAAGAGCTACCAAAGGGTCACTGGAAGACGCACTGCAGAAGGACTTGTGTCGCAGCATGCAGTATGGTCTGCTGTCCAGCAATTTGATCGCCTGTTGAGGAGTTGGTTCCTCCTCCAGATGCTGATGGTAAAGAGGCTCCTGTCCAGTCTTCTGCAATTGTTGCGGTTGGACTATCATCTGCCCAGCAGCCTGCTTGCCTTGGCTTGCCTTGCGCTTGAGTCACAGGAAATCAGGCACCAGGCACCAGGAGCTTTTGGCTCAACTTGGCTTTTGAAGAGGGTCCGCAGGGCGGAGCGCGGCCCGAAGGCAGATTGTCACAATTGATGCGGACATGTTGAAGATCAACAGAGCTGTCTGCAGTATCAACAACTCTGTTTGGGCGGGCTTGGCTTGCTGCAAGGCCGGCGATGGCGCCAAGCCTGAAGCGCTTGGCAGCTCTGTGGCTTGTACCAGTCAGCCTGGCATGACATCCCTTCATTGCAGCTGCTGCACAGCTGCGCATGCTCTTCCTTCTGTCAGGCGCGTCTTGCCGGGGCCAGCAAAGAGGCAACTGCGCTTCAAGTATGGCAAACTGATGTGAGCATTGCGTTGCGAGAATCTATTCGAGGACCGTGGCCAATGTAGAGAGATGGGCTCTGGTCGGTCCTGCAATGCAAGAATAAGCGAAGATGGATCCGACAGTTCCTTGCTTGCCTGGTCGGTACGTTATAATTGCTTCGAAGACGGGCCCATCAAAGCTGCCAGTGCTTGAGGTTACTTTGGATACTTGCTGCTTGGCTGCACCCCTTAGGAATCCTACTTGTGTAGGAGTACTTCGGGACAGTTTGTAAAAACTTCTTTGAAGGAACTCATACATTACAAGATTATTGTGCCTGTGGCTCAGGTGGTCCATCATGTCCAACTCCAAGGAGAGACCATGCAGAAAAGCTCAAGTCAGTTCATTTCTCTGCAGCCCACTTGGACAGGACGCCGTTAATGGCTACGAGGGACGGTTTCAAGATGAGTCCTTGACAGAGCGGACCACTACAGACGAATATTATGACCTCGCAACGGATTTCTATCTCTACGGATGGGGATCCTCGTTCCACTTCGCAACGCGCTTCCTCGGCGAGAGCCTAGAGGACTCTATTGTCAGGCCTGCCTGCTGTTGAAATCAATGTCGGGGACCCTGAGATGACGCTGTTGCAGGCACGAGCATTTCCTAGCTGCGAAGCTGGGGCTGAGGCCTGGGCAAAAGGCAGCTCGCTGCAATGGATAGCGTTTTGAAACTTGCTTGGCCCAACTTCGTTCCTAGAAAGGTTGCTGACCTCGGCATGGGCGTTGGAGGACCGTTAAGGCACACTTCTGAAGACGTACACAAGGCTTTGTTATTTGTGGCCTGGGAGGTCCATACAGAAGTTCAGCAATGCCGATGTGACAGGGGTCACAATCAACGACTATCAGGCAAGCAGAAGTGCTTGGAAGGAAGCGCACTTTCATCGATTTGTTGCAGGTGCGCCGAGCACGAAAATTCACAAAGAGGGAGTGCAGCGCAGCCATGGCAAGTCATATAGCGCCCAAGCAGCACAAAGACTAGACTCAGCCACATGGCGCAACAGTTTTGCTTTTTACTTCTTTGTCTTGCTGATCCAGGAGTACAAGCAGGGTGATTTCACCAAGCTGGTTCCTGAAGTATTTGCGCCGGACTGCCTGAGTTTCCTCACTGAACGCCGGCCAGAAAAAAGGCATGTTTTCCTTTTGCTTGCTTGAGCGAGGAGTCTCTGGACGCCGTGTACTACATCGAGTCCTCTTGCCATATAGCAAACCGAACTGCCACATGGCCACATTCAGGTGCCAGCAGCGGAAGCCTGCGTATTTTCTTGCCTCTGAGGAAGTTTTCCTGGAGTCTGCCAAAGCCTTGAAAAAAGGAGGGAGGCTTTTCTCCTATGAGTGGCTTTCATGCAATGAGCAGTCGTTGCTTCTCCCTACATTTTGCTCACGGAGCAACCGCTACGCTTCTCGTTGCCTTAAGAAGGTCTGGAAAAGAGATCCTCGATCGTGTTGTTCCCGGGCAGGTGGGTCATGACAGACCGCTTCAATCCCAACGATCCCGAGCACCTGGCAATAAAGAAAGGAATCGAGATCGGTGACGGGATCGAGGCATGCACTGCATGCTTGTTATGTGACGTCGTTGCAGCTGCCAACAGTTTTACAGCCTCTTGGTGCTGAGGAGCTAGTGGGAATCCGCGGCCCATTAGAGGGCTTAAACAACAGCGGCTTCCGAATCATAGAGCATGGCCGCTTAGCTTGCAGCTGTAAGCAGGGTTTGCACAAGGTTTCACAACTGCAGCTTGCAGCTCCCTGTTTTAAAGGTGATCTGGTTGATTTAGCAGAGGCCAGGCAGTGCCTTGAGTGCTATCGCTCGAGACCTATCGAGCAAGCAAAAAAAACACCTGCAGGAGTGGTATGGGGATTACAACGTGCCGTGGTATTTTGAGATGGTCTGGAGCATAGTGCACAACGATGAGCTACTCTAACACTGCGCTCGTTTGCTTCCCGCTAAGGCGCAGTTCTACTCCTTCTCCTCTTTCAGATCTTTTGCGTTATCAGAATTTGGGCAGCGGGCGCTTGGCACGCTTCTGTGGCTAGCTGGGCAGGCTAGCTGATCACATGACCTGGTTGAGTCGGTGTTGCAACCGAGCTGCAACCCGTGCAGGTCGGTCTGGTGCCTGAAGACGCTTCCAAGACCGAACAGATGCTTCGGCAGGCAAGCATCAACCTGGTCAAGGGTGGTGGCTCAGAAGCATCCGAGTATGGTGACAGACTGATTGCTGTGGTTGGTGATGGTCGGTGCCATGTGTTGCGCCTAGGTGAACTGAAAATCTTCACTCCCATGTACTACGTGGTGGCCGAAAAGATTTAATTACCGCTGGCGTCTAACGTGCGAGCGTTGCGCCACTTGTGCCGAATTTGCTTGTTTTGCCGCATTGCATTCAGTGGTCTGCAAGGGGGCAAGTTGTCCTCCACTCCGGCGGACCTTGCCACCCAGCAAAGTCCGCAGACCATCTGTGTAGGTGTCACTTATTTTCCAGCGTATCACTCATATGCCGATCTACCAGCGCACCTCGTTTCTCCAGCTTGCAATGGCTGGCCACAAAAAACTGAGCAGAGCTTTGATGTAATGCATACACAAGATCAGGCTAAGACATCCTAAGACCTAAAACTTGCGATTCCCCTTCGCATCCCTGTTCAAGCCACGTAGTCTGATTGCAGCAACTGCAGCAGGCCTTGCCGCAAGTGTGCTTCATCGCACACCCGCAGTTGTGCCCGGCTGAGAGCTTGTGGCTCTGCTTGGAGGTGTGCTGCTATAGTGCAATGTGAATCTCCCGGCTGCGCGCCAGCAGAAGTGGATCACGATTTGAAATATCCCGACAATTTGCATGGAGTCTAGGAACCTTTCTTCTCAAGCATGATGCATAGAGGGGTGCTTTGGCAAGCACCTCGTGTTGGGCTGCAGTGAGGTCCCTTCAAACAGAACCCAGCAAAATCTTCGAATGGCAACAGATCTTGACCAGATAGGATGCAAGGGCTAATGGCTTCCTCTGCACGGTTGGCCGGATGGGCCAGGTCGGGAAGGCCATGCGCAGTCAAGGCCCTTCTGTGGAGCTTTGCGCTCTGCGCTTTGTTCATGCGGGAGACCGGCTTCTGCGGGCTGCCACCAAGAGCACGGGGAAAGGATATGGCTACAGCGAGAAGGTTCTTCGGCGGGGGCTCCGACTCGGAGCAATTCGTCGTGGGAAATGTTTTCAAGCTTGTGAAGGAGCTGCCAAATGATTTTTCTGCCTTGGAATGGCAGCCACTAGATGCTAGAGGGACGCGTTATTTCAATGCCATGGACCCAAACTGTAAGAATTATTATGCCGCTGCGAAGCTGGACTCATGGCCCACTACCAGGCAGGATGAATGGAAATCAAGAGGCGGTCGAGACTTGGGCTGCAGCTCCACTAATCATGTACACCGTGTTTGTGGTTGCATTCGCTGTAGCAGCCTGTAGCAATCTGTTGGTATGACTGAGGAGATGAGAAGGTGGCGGTGAGCTTCCTGGAGTTTGTCCCGTCGTCCAGACCTCTGCAACTCCGTCCTGGTACGGTCGATGTAGCACTGCTCCAGCCTGGTGCCGCCGTTGACATGGGGAAGAAGCTCTATAGCCTGATATTCAGAGAAACGGCCCGTGTTCTGAAGCGTCAAGGCCAGTTCATGATCTTCAACACGGCATCTGAGAAATTGCCTGACACAGCAGAGAACTTCTTCGCGATTGAGGAAGAATCTGAGCAAAACGGAATTACATATTACTTACTCACTCGCAAAGCGAGGAAGAAGAAAAAGAAAGTAGAAGATGAAATTCAAAAGCCTCGTAGGAAGGTCCTGGGCTTCACCCTGGACGAGCTGGAAGATGCTCTGGACGATTAAATTTTCCAGTCTGCGTCAGCGCAAAAGGCAGGCAGCTGATCAGGTCTACTGAGGCATACTTCGGGATTGCTCATGGTTGACTGCCTGCCTGCCAAGGCATAGATACTTCTCGGAATTTCATCCAGCCATTAGCTGGCTAATCTCGCAGCCGCCCTGGTTCTTCACCGCTTGCTTGCCGCTTCACAGCTACCAACACTACCAACAGAAGCTGCTGAGGAAACAAGTTCCGACCATTATCATTGGCGCTTCGGATCCGGATCCCTCCTGGAAACAGGCTGCCAGCAGATGGGGGAGCAACGAGCCATGAGCGCTTGGGCAGAGCAGTCTGAAATGTTGCCGTCAAGATCCGTCAAGTTTTCCAATCTGCAGCAGAAGGGTTTTCGTTTGAAGGTGTGGGGGTCTGGGGGACAGGGAGTTGACGCGAATTCGTTGTGCCAGTTGTAGCAAGCACCTGCAAGCCGCGTCTTACTGTGTTCACGAGTTTCGCAAGGGGTTTGGAGGCGCCCTGGACAGGGTGCGGGGAGGGGTGAGGAGGGGAGGCACACTTTACAGTGCCTAATCATATTCAGGTTTCCTGTCAGGACTTATGATCTTGGACCCGCTTTAGCAGCTTACCATCCACAGTTAGAGTAGATCCCGAAGATAATTCCCTTGCAGGTTGTTTGGGCTCGGTTGCTACTTGGTCAGTCTCATTGGGTACCAATTCCAGCAAAAATCCCGGATTTTGCCCGAATTCCTCACCCTCTGTGGAGATCAGGAGTCCCGAACATGCAACTCTAAGCCGTACAGAACTCTAACTCGCACTAGAAAAGGTGCTCAGCGGTGTAAGGGAGGAACCCTAAAACCCTGAAACCTAGAGAACCCCAAACCCTCAACAACTCACAACCCTAAACAACCCTAGACTAATCCGAAAGGTAAACCCTTCAGAATCCCAAGCCCCAAACCCCGCAACCAAAACACGAAAGAACTCCAAACCCAAGACCCTAAACCCTGAAGGACCCTGGCCCCAACAGAAACCAAACCCGAACCCTCAAAAACCATAAGCCCAAGCCACCCAAAACCTTCAACAACACCGAACCCCGAACCCTGAAGAAAGTTCAATCTCGCCTGGGCCTAGCGGTCCTCTATTCTGGATTGGCAATTGTAAAACAGGCACTTCAAGAATGATAACATTAAAACATATACAAGACCAAAGCGTACCAAAATCCTAAATCCTAAGTTCGCCCAATCATTGACAATGCCAAGCTCTGAACCTCAGGAATCCTCAAACCTAAACAAGCCCAAGCCCTTGGACCAAAACCGTAAACCTAAGCAACCCCAAACCCGAAAGCCTGCAATCCCAGACCTGAAGAGCCCGAGACCCTAAACCGAAACCATCCCACGCCGCAAATGCTAAAGAGCCCTGAAACCTTAGAACTCCACACCTAAAACAAACCCTAAACCCTAAAGAACCCCCAAACTCTCAAGCAACCTTACAGTCCTACACCTACAGAAGGTGCAGCCCCCTAGCCAGCATGAGAAATAGCATGGCTGTGGTGGTAGCAGTAGTAGGAGGAGTGGTGTTGGTGGTCTTGGCGGCGGCGGCGGTGGCGGTGGTGGTCGTCGTGGGGCGCTGCTGTTGGTGGTGGCGGCGGCGGCGGCGGCGGCGGCGGTGGTGCTGCTGCTGCTGCTGCTGCTGCTGCTATGCTTGTGCCGTGCCGGTCCGGTCCCGGTCCCGTTCCCCGTCCCGCTGCTGCTGCTGCTGCTGCT